CGGATCCACTGCTGGCCAAGACTGTGCCCATCATTGAGGGTGGTAGTGCCTCTGGGATAATACAGTTAAGAAGCAGGGGCAAAAACTGTGCAACAGAGAGATAGGAGGGAGAATACCTGAAGGAAGCAGCTGTGCAGCTTCACCAAAGTAGGTGAAGAAGAAGGGGAAGGAGGTGCTCAGCACTGGAGAGGAGATTCCCTTGTAGCCCATGGGGCAGCCTATGGTGGGGCAGCTGGTTGTCCTGCAGCCTGTGGAGGTTCATGGTGCAGCAAATATTCACCCGCAGCCCATGGAGAACCCCCAACTGGAGCTGGAAGAAACCCAAATGAAGCTGTGACCCTGTGGGAAACCTGAACTGGAGCAGCTTTTTGGCAGTTGTAGATCCATGGAGAGAGGAGCCCACACTGGAGCAGGTTTGCTGACAGGACTTGTGACCCTGTAAGGGACCCACTGTACTTAAAAGCCTGAATCCCATGGAAAGGATCTCACACTGGAGCAGTTTGTGAAGAACTGCAGCTCATGGGAAGCACTCATGTTGAAGTTTACCAAGGACTGTCACCTGTAGAAAGGATCCCATGCTGAAACTGGGAGTTTGAGGAGCCCCCTCCCTGAGAAGGAAGAAGCAGCAGAGACAATGTATGGTGACCTGACCCCAGCCCCCATTCCTCATTCATGCAGTTGGTGGGGAGAAGGAGGAAGAGAAGAGAGAAACTGGGAATGAAGTTTAGCCTGGGAAGAAGGGAGAGGTGGGGAAAAGGTGCTTTAAGATTCAACTTTTATTCTCATTATTCTATTTTGATTTGACTGGTAATAAATTAAAATAATTTCCTCAGGGTGAGACTGTTTTGCCCATAACAGTAGTTGGTGAGTGATCTCCCCCTGCCCTTCTATCTCAACACATGTGCCTTTCAATGTACTTTCTCTCCCCTGCTCACCTGACCCTGACTTTGGTGGGCACCAGGCATCCAGCCAGAGTCAAACTACCACACAAGGTTAGACAGTGACAATGATTTTTTTTTTTTTTTTAATTCTCCATAATCCATAGTTACTGACATAGATACTGGATATTGAACATATGCTTCCCCTATTTTAGTATCTCAGTGGGAGCTACTAATGATACAGTTTGAAACATGCAGAAACACAGAGTCAGCAGTAGCCTAAGATACAGAAAAGCAGAGAGAAAAAATGGATAGCTGTACCTTTTGTAAGGTACTGGGTTTTTTATCCTATTACTAGTTTAATTCTGACTACCCACAGCAGAACCTAGCCTGAAAACTTAGACATATCCACACTCTGCTGGGTACAGGTAGAGCAGGAAGAGTGAGTGTTAACAAAATGAAGAGGTGTCATTTGCTAGTCAGTGTGGCAAACCTGCAGCTATATGTTTTTCAGGAGCAGTAAGGTTATAGTAGGAGTGTTTGGGACGCTGTCAAAGAAAGAAATAGCACATTGTGAAATTGTAAAAGGGAAGCACCTTCCACAGTGGAGAGTTCTTGTACAGGTTTCAGAAATACTTCAAAGACTTCGTGCAATCATTGAATGGTTTGGGTTGGAAGGGAACTTAGAGATCTTCTAGTTCCAACCCCCCTGCCATGGGCAGGAACACCTTCCACTAGACCACGTTGCTCAGTTCCATCCAACTTGCCTTGAACACTTCCAGGGATAAGGCATCCACAACTTCTCTGGGCAACTTGTTCCAGTGCCTCACCACCCTCATGAGGAAGAATATATTCTTCCATGTATTCAACCCAAATATCCCCTCTGAGTTTGAACCCATTACTCCTGGTCCTATTTAAAACAGACAGTTCTGCCTTCTGAATGTAAATCACTGATGTTAGTACAAAAACAAGCCTGTAAGTTTTGACAGCCCAGGCAAAATAGGGACTTAATTTCATTATTTCTAATAAGGGGTGAAAAATGTATTTAAAAAACTCAGCAAAACAAAGTCATCCAGCTGGATCAAATTCACTACATATGTCAGCACATTACACAGAAACCTCTCAGAAAATAGCCCAGGAAGAGGAAGGAGTTATCAACCCAATGAAAAAGGTCAAATTGTTGCCCACAGGAGATGACTCTGCTGTTCCAATGACTTCTATAATTCGATGTACTTTCCAACACAAGTAGTTACCGAGATTTATTTTTTCCCCCAAGCAGACCTGCTGCATTTCACACTGGCAGAAACACTGTAAAGTTTTATTTATGTACAAGTTATTCCAGTGAAAGCTGTGCCAGCAGAGTAGCATCTCACGAGACGTTTTTTGGAAAGAAAACCGGAGGTGGGAGATGAGCAGTGCAACAAAAACCTTTATTCCTTCTTAGCGATCGCGTAGTGCCTTTTAAAATTCAACACACTCCCCCACCCCCCAGTATTTGCAGGAGGGAGAGCAGGCGGGCTCGGGCGGGCAGAGCTGTTCCGCTCTCGGTGGCAGGCAAGGGACACATCAGGGGCAGGATGGCTCCCGCACCTCCGCCCCTCCGCGGAG